AAGGCTCAGAGTAGGAAGTATTTATTAAATTAGAAGTTTGGTAGGTGTATGATATAATGCATGCATGCTCAGTGTGCTCATTAACAGATATCTACCTAAAAAGCAGTCATGTATATAATTCAAATATACATTTATATTGGTAACTAAAACACTATTTTTTCCACAATTCAACGTTCAACATTCAAATTTGGTTGAATTATAGTAGTAACAAGGTAATATATGTTAGTGAAAACCATTGGATAATTTACAAGCACACAAATAAGGGAATTATGGAGAGGGCAACAACAAAAAAATGGGTGGAAATAGTGTGGAAGTGGTCGGTCCAAGAAGAGATATTAAATTTTGGTTATAGAGATTAGAGAGGGATGAGAAAAGTAGGTAGTGAGGTAATAAATGAAACAGCAGCACATGTAGAAGAGATGTCCTGTAATTATAATTATAGTAGTAACAATAATGTAGCTTTGGTGGTTGCACCTCATGATTCGTAACTATAGCTTTATTCAATTTTATTTTTAATACGTTTTGGTAGCTGTAGACAATTAGGTTTCTAGGTCAAGATTAAAGTTTAGAGGTCATCTTAAAACCATCATTTAAAAGAAAAAAAACATTTGTGATTAAGTAGAGATGGGAAATTGTCTTTTGTTAATTGTTATATAGTCAACTATTTATTTTTCTAGCAAATTTGTAATCATATTATATGGATGCGAATGCGATTGGTAAAATTGACAAAAACAAAAAAAATAGAAATTATGGAAACTAGTAAATATCATCGAAGATTTGTGTGTGTGTGTATGTCTAGTGGCCCTATTAACCTCACAAGGAAGAGGAGGATATCGAACCCATGTACCATGAGACGAGAGCTAAGTTACACAAATTATTGGAAACCTTATTCGTTTTTAAAAGTGATTCATCATGTGAGAAATTATAAAAATAGGTTTTCTACTTCTCCTCGTAAAATTTTCAGGGATTCTCATACTTCTAAACTCTCATGGCATGCTCTATATATGTCTTTAGTTTCTTCGTTAAAGTTAATCCATGTGTTTTTCTTGTTTTGATCTGCTCGTCCCACTAGTTATCTTACCGGTTCATGATGCTTTCGCATTTGAGAAAAAAAAAAAAACAATTTGGCTATAATCTTTAACGTCAAACAAATCGGCTATAATATAATATCCCCAATAAAAATGTTTTTGACATTAATGAAATATTAATTATCAAACGCATAGAGCATTTGTAATAGATACTTGTATAGTTTGGTACATAATTAATGTATGCATACATATATATATCATTGTATAGAAAGTGTATAGGAAACAATATATAAGGATAATGTAATGTACATTTGATCATTAATGAAGATATTATACAACTAATATGGTATTAGAGAGTTAAGCAAAGCTTAACAAACTCTTCTTCTTCCACCGTTCTTCATTCCTTCGATCCATCTTCAATTTCTTCTCATTTCCGCACTTGAATATGTGATTCTTCATCGATTCTTCACTCTGATTCGTTTGATCAGTTCCGATTTGCCGATTATCGATCCGATTCTCGGGAAAATCTGTTCAGATTTCTGATTTGTTACTCCGATTTCGTCGTTGTTTCATTTCTTCTCAGATTCTGGTTGATTCAGCTCCGATTCTGGTCATTTCGAGCTAATTCCGATCAACTATGAGAGGAAAACGCAACTGCAAATCTACGTATCAATTTTCAAAATCGCATTCTCCGGATGCTACATCTCCGATTCACCGTCGTAATTCTCGAGACTTTTTTCCTCTTGATGATGCGCCTGGCTCTATGGACCGTATTGCATCGGTTCATCCTCAACCTTTTCGTAATACT